TTTTTTCGGTTGAACTCAAAGATGTTCTACTGTATGACAATAATTAATAGGAAAAAAAACGTCACTCATATTGTGCATACTTAAACCACTTCATTAAAAATTTTCAAAATATTTGAGCAAACAGACAATCAGGTACCTATTAGCTGTATTTTATTTGTTTAATAATTTTTTGTTGTGATTTATTCGTCATGTTGGCAAGACTATTACAATTTGTGGTATAACATAAGCCACAGATAAAATAACAAAAATAGATATGAATCAATATCATAATAATTGTTACTAACAGCGAGCATTTCTGAAACCATCACTTACTATTATTATTGTTATTATTATTAAAANACGAATTAATTTTTTTTTTCAAATGGAATGACTCATATTAAATGAGACCGATCGATGCGAAATTAAAAGCCTTTGACTGACATATATCAAGATTTGAGATATTCAAATATTCCAATACTGAAATAAAATAAAGTAATATTTGAAACTGTGCACCTTACTATTTTCTTTTTAAATACATATAAGTACGTAAATAATAAGTAATTACAATTGTAAGCTAATAATTGATCAGAAACAAGGAGAAAATTACGACTATTAATTACGATACTCGAACCTTGTTACCTGTTTGTTTATAAATATTGTTTTGTTCAGTTTTATAAGAATGTTTAATTTTTAGTAGCAGCAAATGCCCGCTAGATGGTGATACACTGTCCGTACATGTAATATGTTTAAAGTTAGGAAATAGGTAACAAAAAAAATTAGAAATCAAATCGAATTGAACAAAAATGAGATAGAAAGTAACGTTAGGTAGGTTGTTAATAACACAGTATTTTGATTGTAAATGCCGTAAAATTTAAAAATACAATTTTTCCTAGTTAATTTGAGGTTATCTTTCGAGGGTAAGTTTAATTCACTAATACAACACGTTAACTTCCTTAAGATAACTTTGGAAGGAAAATTTAAATCTTATAAAGAACAGAATTGTTATTGATTTTTTGTTGTAACAAATTTTGCTTTAAAAATATAAGAACTTTTGCTCGTGTTCTCAATATGGAAAAATTTAGTTTTAATTTCAACATAAAATGTATTTTATAGTGAACTAGTTCTTCCCCCTGCCCCCGGAAATTTTTATTGCTGCACTATCACGTAGTGTCGGCCATCATTCTTTTCTAATTGTTGCAGTTGTCGGCCTTCATTCTTTTTCAATTGTTGTCGCATTGTCACTAATGTCGGCCATTATGGTTTTGTAATAGATGTATAGTAACCAATAATTAAAATTTAAAGAAATTGTTGGTAAATTGGTATGCAACACATTGTACACTTCAGCTTAAGTAATTGCTGATACTAACTTTCATTTACGTAATACTACTTTGTCCTGTGCTGACAGCATTCATAATTTTTTTATATGTAATATTCTTTTTGAATAACATTTCCACCCTGTCTGGTAAAAAATTTCACTCAAAGAAAGCATTAAATTATTAAATTAATTGACACTGATTCAAAATACATGTACGTATTTACTGTGAAGTTGCTACGGAAAGTCAGCCATAATAATTAAGCCACGCCTCCATGTCAGTTCGCAATTGCGTCAAATTGCTCGTTTTCTAGCTCAAACTCACGCTTGCTACCTATGCCTTCAATTGAATTAACAATTTATTATAATTACGAATGCACACTTACAAAAAAAATCTCAAAGGATTAATGCGTTATCTGAACTCATGGAGGCATGAAAATCCATTCGGGCGAAACGGAGTATGTATAGGAAAAGGACATGAAGAACAGATAAAACTATGAAACGAAACTGACGAGTAAGGCTCACCCACTGAAATTTTCCTAATAAGAAATAATGGAATGAATCATAATCTGAAATTACTTTTCTCAATTTTTAGTTATTTATTTTAAATGGAACTTTTTAAATGTTTTTAAAAATATGTAGGTACTTTTTTCTATTCTAGGTACAATAACTATTTTTAATAATTGTTATCTAGTCTGAATTTAAGTTAAAAACAAAATAAAAACAAACTAAAGCTCTCCTTCCAATGCCCTTTTAAACAATACGAATCCGAAAGATTCCAGTTTTCATACAAATAATTTAAATATTCTTAGTTGCATTGTATTTTGTACTAAATGTCTATTTTTTTCAGAGAAGATATACATAGTGTACGCAAAAATCCATACATATTTGCCGTGAGTACAGTGATCACATCCGAATCTTAACATTATAAGATATAGTCGATTCACATAGACAAAGATACAGCGTGGACGATGCAAACAAATAAATATCGGTCGTAGGCGGATCTTCGGAATATGGCCGCTCGTTTACCGTCAGCTGTTTCCTATCAAAACCCAACCGTAAGCCTCTGACGCAGAAAGCGTAATAACTATTATCAGTTACGCCCATTATGACAGTCCACGCGCATCGATTTGGCATCGTGTACCTTTCTCTAAGTTAATAGACTACTACATTTTACTTTTTTGTTGTTACTGTTTTCCAACGCTATTTTGTTATAATAAACAACAATTAATTGTTATAATTATTGCATACGTTTGCATCCATGATTCATGCTTTAAAATCATGGAAGGTCCGATACCTATTATTTTTATTGCACTTGTTAATGCTCGGTAATGGACCTTCACTTGACAAAAGCGAAAATTTTGAGGTACCTATTGGTTATAGAAATAAATAATATTGAAAAAACATGTTGGGCTATCTTGGGATCAACATGGACAAACGACCGATACTAATCTCGTCGAAAAATTCGCATTTGGGGGTGCCAACTTCATAAAGTTCACAAGCTGTACTGTATTTTTAAAAATAATTTAACAGCTGTTTGAATGAGACCGAGTAGTATCTAAACCATTTCGTTTCAGCATGAATTACAGTATCTATTTTGCTATGGGCATAATGCGTACATTATTCAAAGCCGGAAATATCGAAACCTATATTTGACAGTCTTGTAAAACGAATTAATTTTTTTTTTCAAATGGAATGACTCATATTAAATGAGACCGATCGATGCGAAATTAAAAGCCTTTGACTGACATATATCAAGATTTGAGATATTCAAATATTCCAATACTGAAATAAAATAAAGAAATATTTGAAACTGTGCACCTTACTATTTTCTTTTTAAATACATATAAGTACGTAAATAATAAGTAATTACAATTGTAAGCTAATAATTGATCAGAAACAAGGAGAAAATTACGACTATTAATTACGATACTCGAACCTTGTTACCTGTTTGTTTATAAATATTGTTTTGTTCAGTTTTATAAGAATGTTTAATTTTTAGTAGCAGCAAATGCCCGCTAGATGGTGATACACTGTCCGTACATGTAATATGTTTAAAGTTAGGAAATAGGTAACAAAAAAAATTAGAAATCAAATCGAATTGAACAAAAATGAGATAGAAAGTAACGTGATATTCCTACCGAGGTATTAGGTGTTACTTATAATAGACACACACTGTATTTGTAAAAGGCAATTTAATTAAATTATTGTATGTGAAAGTCAATTTAAGCAATAAAATAAGCGACTGCAATATTCTAATCGCAATTAGGTAAATAAATAATAAAAATTATTTAATATAAAACAATGTTGAAATTAACGCCAAAGGGATAAATATTTTATTTAATGGAAAACCAGATGTTCGAAACATCGATTAAATAAAATATTTTTCGTTTAACTTTAACTCTGATCTCAATATTAATATTATTTTCCTTAACAGTATAATTTCTTTATTCTTTATTCGTAATACTGAAATATTTTCGTAGTATATTTAATAAATAAACTCAAGTAACAAATATTTACAAAAAGCATATTTGTGATT